GTGCTTATGTTTACATACGCACATGGCGTATGTAAAGAATGAGAATGAGCGAAAGTGGATCGTTGAATAAAACAGATGAACCAGAATTGGTTTGTAAAAATGCTGCAACTTCAGTGGTGTGAAACTGGTTTAGCTTTCGTCTGTCAGATACACAACAAAGCACTATTTTTGGTAGAGCATGCTAGCGGGCCGTCGTTATTACCGTGTTGTTTGGAAAATACGGCACACTTAAAATCAATCCTTTGATTTTTCTGAAAATCGACAGTGCCCCTTATTATCCCGTGTGCCTTATGTATGAATTCTGGTTGTGTTTACTGACCTCAAAACGATTTTGTCATACACGGCGCTCAAAAATCTGTCAAATGTTTTAGTACGACTTTGCTAAGCTACGAACCCGCACCGCTTGATGGATTGTCAGAGCATTACGGCATTAGGCAGGCGCCTCGCGGAGTGATACGTACTGTGCTTCAACATAATATTACCGTATTGTGTGTGTATATAACCTCTTTTTAAGTTTTGTGGATATTATACATGGTTATGCTGAGGATATGTCAGCCAATTTCCACTGGAAATGCCTTTTGGTTAAACTGTCAGCAAGGAATTTGCACTGTTACATTTATATATAACTTTAATGCACATAAAAAACAGCTGCTTGTTTAAGTGAAAATACATTGATGGGATTTTTTGCACTAATAAAGTTGTGGAGTTGTAAAGTATTTTGTCTAGTGTCAATTATATCGTCAGTTATATTGTTATCGCAAATTTTCAAATGTATATCATGATAAATATTTTTGGTCATATCGCCCTGCTCTACTAGAGCGGCGGGGAAAGAATAAAATAATTAAATAATAATCACAGAAAACTGTATAAGAGTGAGGAGAATGAACGATATGCAGACAAAAACTGTTCTTACCTCTCCCATCCCCCTCGACTCCAAAGCAAGAGCTTGAAAATCATAGTTCATTTCATCCACTGCACGGACCTGAGACAGATTTAAAAAAGGAAAAAAGGTTTTTCATGAACATTTTAAATTAAACAGCACTGATTTAACAAAACTGTAAAATTGTACCTGCAATGCTAAAGAGTGCTTGTTGTAAGAATATGTGACAATTCAATAGAATACATAAACATTCATAGCAAAAACCTAACATTTATTCTTTAATCTGTGCAATTGTTTTTACATTACGTAACATTCTGGTTTTGTGAAATAAGCCAGACATGAATTATGACTTACACAGCATTTTGAATATGCTGTTAAGCCAATAAGAGACTGTTGTTTAATAAAGTTCTCTTACATGAAATCCCAAAGCAATTAGTCCTGACTGTTCGACTTATGTTAAGGTATCTGACATGATCATTTAGCTTTGGTTATTGCATGACCGCCCCCCGTCCCACTATACATGATGTGTTAAGGAAAACTGAAAATAAAAATCTGAGAAGGACCTTTTAAAAAAAAACATTTTTAGACTAGGACCTATGCAGAGCTAAACACAAAAAAACATTTGCACAGACTACACATGATTTATAAAGAGAGGCGGTTACACTCGCTCTTCTGCAGGGCACAATGACTTGCTTGCATGAAACAGAATAGTTTGAATGAAGTTTGAAAGAAAAAAAAAATTAAATAACCTAAACACGAGACGGGGCTTTGTATGTAGCAACAAAAAAAGCTGCAGAGCAGCTTAAACTACTGTTGAGACAGGATGTGAGGTGTGGCTATTAAATGACAACACAAAGACAGGTTTTGAAATTAAAAGAGGATTGGTTTCCAGTGCACCATTGGCTTAACATTACTACAGACAGATTATAGACATTTCTCAATATATGGTCAGCAAAAAAGAAGCCACAGCTGTGGGAAAATATCTCCATCCATATCAGTATGCTGAGCTGTCCTAGTGAAGCCATTTCTGGCCAACTACATGTCAATACTCCTTATTAATCTGATCCAAGTACCACGCAACTTTATTTATTTTCCTTCAAAATCACATTTGCGTTTTAGAGAAGCACCTCCAAGTCTGATCCAACAGTGTAGAATAAAACCATGAAGCCTCTTAGACCACTAATGGAAGAAGACTTACTACGCTGCTTTGATCACTGAAAGCCCCGAGTGCAGCAGTCTGTAGGTGCAGAAGGGGAATAATTTGAAGGGGAACAGAATTAAAAGACAAGCTTTCTTCATTAAAGTTTAATTGCAGCATTTATTTCATTATTTAATAACCACACTTTCTATTACAACTCTGGCTCAGTCAACATGGTGAGACTCACACCCCTGTTGTGCTGACACAATGGCCAAAACTATAATCTTGCTGATGTCTGTTGTAAATCAGAAGCAGTGCTATGGCTTTTTAATACTTGTAGTAACAGACTGGTGATCTCTGAAATCTGCACTCCAACCTTCACCTCACGTTTGACTGGGCAAACGGCTGTGGATAGACCTGTCTGTAACTCCAATAATGACAAAGTACTACATTTAAATAATAAACAACAGATTGTTTACTTGCTGTTTATACCAATATAATAATCAGTGAAAATTGAGGACTTGTTCTGTCTGGTAATTATACTAAACTGCACATCACCGCATGCCTTAGCTCAATAAAACAAAAAACAAACCAACTCTTTACCTGATCGACATGATTGGCATCCCCAGTAGGCCAGCGATGCTTGCTAGGTGTGCAACTTACAAGCTGCTCCCCAGGCTGCCTCTGAAAGAAGTATCCTACTGTGGCGTCATCCTGAGACCTCCCGCTCAGCGGAGGCTGTGGGGTACCTGGGGTAGGGTTAGGAACCCTGTCCATGCCCTGTATGTGTGGCCCTCCAGGAGCCTGACCAGCTCCGCCAACTGTGGCTAGGGGCCCTCCGCCATGAACTCGGACACCCCCAGACTCAGGAGCACCATTTGCATGCAGCATCCCACCTCTCGTCTCCTGCCAGGCCACGTCATTCATACCTAGGATGCTGCATGGAATGCTCATTCCACGGGAAAGCCTAAAAAACAAAACAAACAGACAAAGTAAGATTTACTCACTGGAATGTATATTTTCTTATTTTAATTTCACTTGCATAAAATTGAAAGAAATCTTATTAGAGGATATAGTCTCTCTGTGTGTCCTGTATAATTACATATAAATGACCAATAAGAAACACTAGGATATAAATGGCTCAGATATGATTTTAATTTCATTATACAATGTAATGTAGCACCCATTACAATGTGGTGTTTACGGCATCATAATTGGCTTTTATGAAAGCCCATGCTATTATAATGCGACCATCGTGGACTTATTAAATCCTCCTTGAGCTTTCAGACAAAAATCAGCTTTTAAATCCCATTAAAGAATCATCCAAAAGAATAATATAATGATAACTAATGCTTTTAATTTTCCTCGCTGGGACAAGACTAATTCCCGAGCTGCTAACAACACGCCAGGGATATCGTTGTCTAATTCTGCTTAACTATTTGTGCTACAACAGGTTAGTAATGTTTTGTTAAATTAAAAAGATCGGGCCAAGAACAAAACAAGCGACTGACATCGATGTTGGTGGCTTATAAGAGCAACACCGCTCGGTAACGTTGTCGTTAGCCAAATACTAGCTGGTGACCATAAGACTGGGGATACCAGCAATAAAGCTTCGGCTACCACACAGACATACACGAATAAATGCAAATATTCAGCGATAGCCACGACTGATTTCTGAGATGATGTAACGAGCTTGCAACAACGTATTCAAATTTGAAACTGTTCATTGTGGCACACCAATTAGCAGCTTGGCTAGCTAGCCTAGCCAGCAGCAAGCAAGCCGCTCTAATAATAAGGAAGCTACCTTAACGACTTTCAGCTGGGATTTGCGTAAATGTTTATTTATTTATTAGATTGTGTTTGCTTTGTGGTTTGTTGCCTCGCTTCTTTTGATTGTTTACTTCCACCCCCTCATGTATTTCTGCTAGTGGAAATCGAACATGATTAAAGCTAACCATTGGTTCTCTGGAGCTAACTAGCTAGTGCTAACCGCAAAGGGCCCGTTGTGTTTATTATTGGTGAGACATCAAAGAAATTTGCTTAATTCACTGCTGTTTTATAGTCAGCGGGTGGCTTTGCATGTTTAATAGAACACATTTTCTCGACTTATTATCCGATATTCACTGTACACAACACGTTACGGCCATCTCCGAGAGCTAACAAACGCTAATAGCCATGTTGCTGTTGTTAGCTAAAACATCAGCCAAACACTCAGTGGCTAAACAACATGGCCCCCCTTCAAGTTCCAAACAGAGGGGCCTTAACCGCTAAACAAAAGGGGAAATACTCGCACGGCGGCAACCGCTTCCAAAGCAGTCCCCTTACACAGCTTTGGATTCGGTTGTGAACAGATGTGAGGGCATACTCACGCGTTGTCGTGTCGAGAGAGGATCTGTGCTTGTTGCACGCCGTCAACCCGATTCTATATTGTTTTGTTTCCTTGGAGAGAGAGCGGTGATTTAGCAAAGCTTGGTAGTCAAAGCTAACAGTTTCTCTACGCTAGTGCCCCCTCCCTGTAAATAGCGTGAACTACGTAGACATGCGTATAACAATGTCAGTGTCAATTTGCCTTCCCATCGTGCCTTTTGAGCACCAAACCCCCTGTGTTAGGCAACCTAATATGTGGTATCATAGAAATTAGTCTCAGAGACACTTCCCCACCCAAAATCACTCTCACATTTCATAGGATAAACTGGCTTAGTTTGAATGAATCCTCATTAGACAGCCGGCTCATGTCATTTTGTGAACAACAATGCTGACTCAGTAATAAAAGTAGCAAGGCAATATGTCCGGGAAGCTTATTTGAAAGGGAGGTTTCAAAGAAGAAGTACGTGTATATTTATCGTCATCGTGCTGTGATTTTAGTTGATTTCGCCTGATTCTCAGTCGGGTGGATCCTCGTGGTCAGTGACCCCTCCCTCCTCCAACGCGAGAAAAACCCGACGGGACCCAATCACCTTTTCCTTTACAGACGGTGATCTCACCTCCCCATTTCCGATTGGATTGCTATATTTAGGAAAACGCCTTACGCTTTATAAAGAGATTGCTGTAGTTTGTGGCAAAAGGCTCCGGAGTTAGTGGAAAGGACTGACTTGAGGGACGAGTTTGACCAGTATCTGCTTAGAGTTTGAAAGCTACTGGAGTTGACACGACTAAACATTTACAACTGCCGACTTTGGACTGAGCCGCGTTTGAGAGCGAGAACTGGGAGAGGCAGCAATGGCAGACATACGAAAGAAACTTGTCGTGGTGGGCGACGGTGCATGTGGGAAAACATGTCTACTGATAGTATTCAGCAAAGACGAGTTTCCAGAAGTGTATGTCCCGACTGTGTTTGAGACGTACGTGGCGGACATAGAAGTGGATAACAAGCAAGTCCAGCTGGCTTTGTGGGACACAGCCGGACAAGAGGACTACGACCGGCTGCGGCCGCTCTCCTATCCGGACACCGACGTCATTCTGATGTGCTTCTCGGTGGACAGCCCGGACTCGTTGGAAAACATCCCTGAAAAGTGGGTCCCTGAAGTGAAACACTTTTGCCCGAACGTACCCATCATATTAGTGGCCAACAAGAGGGATCTCCGCAACGACGAGAACGTGAAGAATGAGCTGTCTCGGTTGAAGCTGGAGCCAGTGAAAACAGAGGATGGCCGGGCCATGGCCACGCGCATTGGCGCATATGACTATTTGGAGTGCTCAGCTAAAACCAAGGAGGGGATCTGGGAAGTATTTGAAACGGCAACACGGGCAGCTTTACAGAAACGACAAACAACCCGAGGTGGCTGTTTCAAATGCTGTGTTTTGATGTGAACTGACTCTGGCTTGGGCGGGGGGCTACTGGGACGCGCAAGAACAGACGTTTCCTGCGTTGGGGTCCGTGTCTGGACATGTGAGGGCAGTGACCATTGTTCAGACACTCCCTCGAAGTCGGATGCCTTTGCTTGAACCAAAACCGATGACTGCAAACGGAGCTGATTGGAACACACACGAATATCATCTGATGGCGGGTGTAATGAGGGGGGTGGGGGGGAAATACACTGGTTATGGCATGTTGGCGTGTTCTTTTTGGGGTCACATGAGCCCAGTCTGACTGAAAAAAATCACAAAGCGTTTGATTTCAGTGGGCGACTTTTCAATCCCCTTCTGCATCTTCTCGTGTAGACGAGAAGGCCTGCTGGAGAGTCGAGATGACTCTGCTCTCTTTTTTTGTGTTTTAAAGTTTGCATAGGCCACAAGCCTTATTGCCAAGGTTATACTGTGTAACAAGCAAAGCAAAAAGAACAAATGCACTGTTATTTTTAATATGAGGTAATTGAAGTTTGATCTTGCACAAGACCAGGATGCTACAGCAACGCATAGAAAGAAAGCTTGTTAAAACTACAAGTCATTGCCAACTTGTTGTTTTTGGTTTTTCTTTGTGATATTTTAGGGCACTTTTGCAAAGACATTTCATAGATCAAGGTTGTGATTGGTTATTTATGTTTTTAGAGTTTGTTAGTTCGGAGCACGGCTAAAAAATAACGTATAATTTTGATTCCACAGTATTAAATGTCTTTTTTCCCTTCAAATTATGCAGCAGGTTAGGTTTGATTCAAGGTTTACAAGACTACACCTGGACCAGTCTTGAAAAGGGCTAACCACAATGTCCTGTAGTTTTGCAGGTTTTCAGGCAGAAACTCTGTTAGTATTAAGTGGGAGTCACGTTTTACAACTTTAGTTTTTTATGTTGCTAAGCATGCTTTTACACAAGTTTTAACTCATTTTGACTAATTTATACAAACACATTGTCCTCTGTACATATATTTCTGTACAGCACATCAGAACAGCATCTTTTCAAGCACATACAGTAGTATATAATCCCATTTCCATCCAGCTGTCTCTGTTCTTTCAAACACATTGGGGGAAAAACAGCTTGAAATTTTCTGTTTGGGCACAGCTTCATTTAGAGTGGCACGGAGGATATTTCCCAGAGACAATTAAACACTTGAGACGGTGTGGCATGTGATGGCCTTGCTCGGTGAAGGGCGTTTTCTCAAAGTGTCATGAAACTGCTGTTTATGACCCAACAGCACACGCTCATGTGGGATTAAGCCATCTGATGGCAACACTTTATTGGAAGTGTTTCATGCAATTCTATTAGTAGAACACTTATGTAATAGTGACACACTCTTAAACTAAAGGGCTTCCCTTTGATTATTAAAACATGAGAAAACGGTAAATGTGAAGTACTAATGATTATAGAGCTGTTAAACTGAATTAAATACAGTTGAGAAAGAGAAAGTTTTTTCTTTTTTCCCTTTTTCTTAAAATCTCAATGTCTTCCATTATGACAGTGAATGTACCTTAAATTTATGTTGTCAAAAAATGTTACTGAAAGCTAAAATCAGTGTATTTTGAGCTGACTTTTTTTTTCATTCTTGTGAAAAGGATTAAGATAGTTTTTTTTGTTTGTTTTTTTTTCAGTGTTTTTCAAGTGTTGTGTAACTGTCCTCTTGCATGATGGTGGGAGTGTGTGTTCATATGACTGTGAACATTAGTTACAGAGACTGTTGTTAAGGGTGAAACTCTTACTGTTCATGTTTTGCTCTTTTACTTGTTATTGGAAACAAAAAAATATGGATTTTTTGCTTTAAACACTTACTTTGTCTGTGTTTTACTAAGAAACTGCGCTGCAGGCACATCTGTGTTTAAAAATACTTTTTTTTTT